ATTCAATTGCAGGTGGTTTTATAGCTCAGAAACACCTAGAAAAACAGGCATTCTGACCGTGAGCGGGGTCGCCTCTCCACAGATCTGACCTGTAACTCGGTCTGGTTTGGTCTCCATGAAGATAGAAAGGACCCTCCACCAGAAAAGTTACAGCGTGCATCTTTAAGACCAAAATGACGAGCCCGACAGCAGCAGTTAGAGAGAGTGACTAGAAAGTGAATTGCGGCGCTAGAGTCGATGGAGTTGGAAGTGTACCCATGCTCACTTCCTGTTTGGAACGCAGCGGCTAGCAGGTTAACTACACTACTCACAATAAGTTAGGGATATTGTTATTTACATGAGTGCTTTTCCTATTTGGTCTGAATTTTTATGAAATAAGTAAACGTTCCCTTTGATATTACTAATAATGAATGAGAAGAAACACCGTTTTCATTAGTTTAATATTTATTACCCCAGAAATTTAGACAATAGCAAGAATAACCCCAAGTAACAAAAATGAACAATGTCTGTAGTGGGTGTTTCCACCATTTGCCGCTATGACAACTTGACAGTGAAGTCTCATACTTCTCACGAACCTCATGATGTTGTTCTGAGGCAATGCGTTCCACTCTTCCACCAGTGCTACATGCAGTTCCACCAGGTCACGTGGGGGTGGGGTATGATTGTCCAGTCTCTGCTTCAGCTGGTCCCAGACGTGCTCTATGGGGTTCAGGTCAGGGGACAGTGCTGGCCGTAACATGTGAGGCACTCCCACTTCCTGAAGACGACCTGTGACAATTCTGGCAAGATGTGGTGGAGCATTATCATCCATGAACAGAAAGTTGAGGGTGTGCTGGCGGAATTGGGGGATGATGATGGGTTCAATGATGTCTCTGAGGTAAGAACATGCAGTGACTGAGCCATCTACAGTAACCACATCTGTTTTGCTCTGACTGGTGATGCCTGCCCAGACTGTTGCACCTCCTCCACCAAAGTGAACCCTGAGGATCATGTTGACCTCAGCGTATCGCTCACCTCGCCTTCTCCAGCAGTGCTGACGATCATCATTTCTGTGCAAGGTGACCTGACACTCATCAGTGAACAGGACGGTGGACCACTGCTGCATTGTCCAGGTCACATGGTCTTGTGTCCACTGCAAACGTTCACGGCGGTGTCTTGGTGTCAGTGGAGTCACCTGCAGCGGTCGTCTGGCATTCAAGCAAAAGCAGTGGAGTCAGTTTCAAATGGTTTGTCTGGAAACCCTAGTGCCCTTCACATCTCGTACACGAGCCTGCAGCTGTGTGGCAGTTGCATAACGATGTCTGAGTGCATAGGTTCTTAGTTACTGGTCATCGTTGTGGTCTGTCACTCATGAGGCTCCTCTCCTGGGTCCGTCACGAACTCTGACAGTAGTTCTGTGTCTTGATGCAAGTCTGCTGATGACACTTTGACACACACCAAGTTCACGAGCAACATCTCACTGCCTGCCACCGACCCAAAGGCGCACTATGGCTAGGTGGCGCTGCTCGTCCGTTAAGTGACGTCGTGTGTTCATGGCTGTTTGAAATATGAACTTCGAATGGCTTGACAATACCAGCTTTTTATACCTACAGAATGTTGAAATTGATGCCACATTGAAAAGGGTTTTTGGCCCCAGTATGTAAAGCACACTGTACACAGTGAGACTATTACGTGGAAAACCCAAAATGAGGTGTGTCTACCAGCCCAATACCATTGCCTCCTTATCACAAACATTTCTGAAGTGAACCAAACACCGTATATATGACATTCACTGACTCTCTCACAATATCCCTAACTTATTGTGAGTAGTGTATGTATATTTATATAAACAGTCTACGAGTCTAACCCACAATGTCCTTACTGAGAGGAGGAGAAGGGCTAACCACTCTGCCACCGGGAGTTCATAACATTACACTCTACATTATACATTTCTGGTAACTAAACTTTTCCCCTTTATTTAACTCACTGCTTCATGTAAGATTCAGCCTCCGTACGATGCCTTCACAGACTCCCGTTTCTTCTGTATAAATGTGTTGTCATACACTTCTCCGCTCTCTGCTGTATTCTTATTACAGCGCTCCATCATCGTGACTGCCCCCGAACGCACCACAGCTCTGTCTAAATGAAGAGAGCAAACTTTTGACCCCATTTGCACGATGCATTTGAGGGGAATCCGATTATTCCTACAGCGCAGTGCTTATAGGTCCTATGTTATGCGTTAAACCAAGGCCAGCGTAAAACAGGCTTTCATGTAGTCTAACTTTATTCATGGGGTTTGGAAATACATTGTTAGAGCTTTATTTGGTATATGCCTATTGATACTTCACAGCTGATCTCACGTTCTTATAGAGTGTGATGCTAACTGGAGGCACTGCTCTATCTGAAGTTGTTTAGTCAAGTTTACTCAAGCCCTACATATTTGCTGATTATGTAGGGCTGATTTTGATGATTTTTCTCAAATTGTGTCATTTACCATATTTTGCGTATTGAATGGTCTATTTTTGAACTTTTTTCACATATAAACCACACCGGACTATAAGGCGCATTAAACCAAACACAACAGTTAGATAAGTCAGTCAAACTTTATTTAACTCATGTAAAAAAATACTGTCTGAACTAGGGATGAGGCATTTGATGAAATTTTCTTAATCGATCGTCGGAAGAATTAATGATCGATTATCGATTAATTATTAACGTTTTTATATTAAAATGATCATCATTATTATTACTATCTGCACTACTAATCTGCATAAATAAATTCAACTTTACGACATATAAACTGTAAACACCCCTGAGCCACATCAGCCCGTTTGACATTATAATGTGTTTAATGCAGCTTTGTGCAACTCTCACAGAAACAAAACTTAAAACCACATCGCTAATTTGCATAAACTAAGCAAAGATAAAAATACAGCTCTTATGTGCTGATGCGGTTCAACTTCTGTTGGATTAAAAGACATGATTCAGGTGAATACAGGTTAGTGTGACCAGATTTGTGTTTGTCAAAACCAGGACACCGTACGGGGGGAGGGGGGCGGGGCCTCGTCATCGACATTGAGCGACTCTCACCTGGTAAAACTTTTTCCCACTGGACACAGAAACATAAGTGCTGCTTTATACACTGTGCACATGGACTCACACTTGTCCCGACCGGAACAAAAAGTGTGGAATTTCTTGTACAAGCCATCGTTAAATACGCATTTGTGCTTCGGTACGTTGCAGACTGACCCACTGTTTGTGTGTCGCTCCTTCTGATGCAGAGACACATGTACAGACCTGTTTAGTCACACTACACACAGCAACCTACATTCGGTTTGTCGATTAAAATGAACGTTATCGATGAAATTCTTAATGATCAATTATCGATTAATTGACTAATCATGCCCATCCCTATTCTGAACAATTATGAGTTATTGTGAATACATTAACAATTTAACGTCTCAAACAGTTGGGTGATTACAGTGTCCAGCACGTCAACATCCCTCTCGTCATTATCCGAGTCAGTGTGGTTACTGTTCCCTGGCAGTTCAGTGATGATTCTGGTCTTGGTGAAAGCTCGGACCACAGTTGATACTGATCCTTAGTCCAGGCGTCCACGATCCATTGGCAGATCGTGGCATAAGTGGGGTCGACCAACCTATATATTTGTCTGTCTCTAGTGACCATAACTTTTCATCAAGATAGAATACCGTTACACTGTCAAATATACCATTCAAGTTAAAGTATGGTGTCTGGAAAATGACTGACTTGAGGTGTGTGTTTTGTTTTGTTTTTTTCATTTATTTTTTTAAAGCCATGTTTTAATGTTGTTACCTCCTCAAAAACAGACCTGGAGTTTGTTTTGTTTCATTCACACATGTCTAAGTAATCTGTTTTTATTAGTCTGAATGCTCTGTTCAACCTTGTGATGTCATGTGGTGGTATTTTCACCAGGTGGAACAGAGTGTTTTCAGTTTGAGAGAGGAACTCTAAACTCTAAATCTGCAGGTTTGTGTGTTAACATGTGTGAATGAAACAAAACACAACTCTATATCTATGATGACAAAACTACATTTTAACATAGATCAGAAAATAAAGTAATATATGAGACCTTTTAAAAAGTTAGTCAATTAAATTTAACTGACTACTACTCTCCAAATTTTCTTTTTTTTTTTCAGTTAAATGTAACCTTGTTATTCTTTTTTTTTTAGAGAATAATGTATCATGTATGTGTATGTATCTTAGCTCAGGGTCTCCAGCCTTTTTCTCCTATGAGCTCCCTTTACAAAACAAAAATGCCAGAGAGCTACTCACTTCAACAGTCCCAAAGAAACTGACCAAATATAAGAGCCAGGGCAAGCCTAAGATGGGCAGCAGTTATGTGCCTAAAATAATACATTTACATTGGTAATTAACTAAATTTTACTTATTATGCACAATACATAGCATTCAGAAATCCCTTGGCGAACTACTTGAAAGGGGGTGGAGAGCTGCAGGTTGGAGACTGTCTTAGGGCCTTTTTACACAAGAACGGGTAAAAATGTCAAAATATTTGATCGGAAGTGCCTTTTGTTTAGACGGTGACAGCGTTTTTACGCAAAAATCTGAAACCTCTCTCCAGAGTGGAAAAGTTGAAAACACCCCGCTGTAGCGTTTTCGTCTACACTGCCCAAGACGCAAAACTCTGGTCAGATCTGCTCATGTCTCGTACACGTTTACGTCACATACGTACAGTACACAGAAACCTGGCATGTATACACAATTTGAATTCCACACACTTTTGCAGATTTCTTCCCTAAAACGCTCATCTAAACGCAGAATAAAAAGTGAAGACGCAACGCCACTTTTGAGTCTTCTGTTCAAACCGTCATCATATAAACGAGCCTTAGGCAGAGCTCGATAAACCCACAATCTTGCTTTTTTATTGTATTTTTTGCAAACACCAGGTGAACAGATCATTCTTCTAAAATATTCTGGTTGTACTGACTCTTGGCTCTCTCTCTCTCTCTGTCTCGTCTCAGGGTAAGGTGGCGCAGACGGCCTGCATGTCGGCCTGTAAACACATCTCCACCTCTCTGCTGCAGCTGCTCCTCGACCCGGAGCTCCGGCAGATCTCGATGGGAGCTCTGCACCAGATCAACGCCGACGTCAAGGAGTGCGAGAGTGAGTCGCCACACTGAGTCTAAAAGGACGCCGCTTTATTTATACTTTACACACCACCAATAAAACGTTTGGACGCACTTTTTCATTTATTTCCACGATTATTTACACTGAAGATTCTCACAGAAGCATCAGAACTATGAATGACACGTGTGGAATGGAGTAAACTAAAGCATGTTTCAGATTTTAAAAATGAAATAAATCCACCGTTTGCTTTGAATCTTGCTCACTGAGAGAAGGTCAAGGATTTACAGAACTGTCCCCAAAGCAAAGGATGGAGACTGCGAGTATTTCTATATAAGATACCTAATTATAAAAATACATAAGATTTGATGTTTTCTATACATTTTGTAGATAAAATGTAGAAAGTAGTAAACAAAGAAAAAAAAACACAACAAACTTTTGACCTGTAGTGTATTTTACTTTTGACGTTGTGACCTTCCTCTTCTTTCTTCTGTGTCTCCTCTCCCTCTCTTTCTCTCTTCCCCCTTTCTCACTATCTACTCCCTCTCCCCCCTCCCTCTCTCTCTCCCCCTCTCCCATCTGCCCCCTCTTTCATTCTCTCCTCTTCTCTCCTCTTTCCTCTCTTCTCTCCTTTACCCCTTCTTCCTTCCTCTCTTTCACTCCTATCTCTCTTTGCCCCCTCTTTTCTCTCAATTTCTCTCTCCCCCTCTTCCCCTTTGTCTCTCTCCACTCCCTCCCCTCCCTCTCTCCTCTCCCCTCTCCTCTCCATGACCGTCTCTCCCTCTCCCCCCTTTTCTCTCTCTCATGTTTCACTCTTCCCCCTCTCTCCTCTCCCTCTCTCCTCTCCCCCCTTTTCTCTCTCCATGTCTCTCCTCTCCCTCTATCCCTCTTCCCCTCTTCTCTCTCCCTCCATGTCTCTCTCCTCCCTCCCTCTCTCCTCTCCCCCCTTTTCTCTCTCCCTCCATGTCTCTCCTCTCCCTCCATCCCTCTTCCCCCATTTCTTTCCCTCTCCATGTCTCTCTCGCCTCCCTCCCTCTCTCCTCTCCCCCCTTTTTTCTCTCTCTCTCCATGTCTCTCTCCTTCCTCCCTCTTTCCTCTCTCCCCTTTCTCTCCCTCTCCATGCCCCCCTGCTCTCCTCTCCCCTCTTTTCTCTCTCTCTCTCTCTCCATGTCTCTCTCTCCTCCTCCCTCTCTCCTCTCCCCACTTTTCTCTCTCCATGTCTCTCTCTCCTCCCCCTCTCTCCCGCTCCCCTGTTCTCTCTCTCTCTTCATGCCCCCCCCCCTCTCCTCTCCCTTATTTTCTCTCTCCATGTGTCTCTCTCTCTCCTCCCCCTCTCTCCCTCTTCCCTCTTCTCTCTCTCCATGTCTCTTTCTCCTCTCCCCCCTGCTCTCTCCTCCCGCTCTCTCCCTCTCTCCTCTCCGCTCTCCCCCCTTTTCTCTCTCGTCTTTTTTGTGTTTTTTTCCCACAGGTTTTGCCAGAGCCGGTCCGGTCGCAGGCTTCCAGGGCGACACGCTGCTGTTGGCCTTCAGTGACTTAAGACAAGTAGGTCTTTGTGCATCGGGTTTGCTCTCTGCTCCTCCTCTTCTCCTCCTCCTCTCTCCTCCTCTGCTTCTCTCCGTCTCCTCACCTCCTTAGCTCCCTCTCTACTCCTCTCTTTTCTCCCCCTGTTGGGAGGACATTACGATCATAAAACACAACGTGACAATCCACATTTTGTTTAGATTTGCAACTCCCGATGGCGATCTTGTCCCGATACCGGCCTTCTTATTTTTAACGATTTTATTTACACGATTTATGTATGAATTTCAACTGGTCTTTTGTAACATAAAGATTTAAACTCCTCCACAGTGCAACAGCGTCGTATTATTTATGTCTGAGGCTTGTAAAAAGACGAGGCCTCCCTAAGCACACGGCGACTTAACATACCGTATTTTCCACACTGTTATAGAATGGTCTATTTTCGAACTTTTTTCACAAATAAACTGCGCCGGACTTTAAACGAAACACAACAGTTGGATGGGTCAGTGGTTTTGTTTGTTCGGCGTGTTCGCAGTGACTCAGTTGTTCAGTTGTGTCTAGAAGTGGCACATTGCACTCGCTTTTTTCCGGTTCGTTCCTCCGTTCCGTTCCTCGTCGGCGTGGAGTGATGAGTGTGTCTGTGGGTGTTTTTTTCTGGCACTCTGGATTATGGGGCATGCAGTCGTTTTTTGATGGAGTGCGCCCTGTAATGTGGAAAATACAGTATGTAAACATTATGTAAAAGTTAGTGCATTCGGCTCTGCTTCTCTGATATATCCAAAGTTTCATTTTCAAGATGTTGCAAATAAAACAAATACTATCTCTGTTATTAATCGTCTTTTTTAGTGGCTTTCGATCCTTCACGGTCTGTGTTTTAGCCACTCTGGACCCAGTCTATTCACCAAATCTGATCGATCCAAAGCGATTCTCTAAAAAATGTCTAGATCTGCACTTGATACCGATAACTTTTGCTGTCAGTGTTTACATTTTTCTAAATTTCAAAGACATACAAAAAAAAATGTACACGGTATAATGCTCAAAAATACATGTACTATTAAAAGGCCCATATGACGCTATTCTCTGATCTACGTTAAAATTAGGGCCGGGCACGTTAACGCGTTAACTTTGCGTTAACTAATTAAGTCATTAACGCCGACAGTTATTTTAACGCCGTTAACGCAGTTTTTATTATTTATTTATTTATTTTATTGTAAACGTCTGTTTCTCACTGGTTTTAATTTTGAAAAAGTCCACCGCGAGCATTTCTTTTTCCATCTTTTTTTCACTTTTTTCACTTTTTTTCTGACCACGTGAGATGCAACGTGCCCGAGCCTCCGCGAGCGGGTTCGGCCACGGGCACCGGCCCTGGCCGGACCAGCCGTGCGCTCTGAGCTGAGCTTATTTCTTTAGTTCAGTGCTGGATGTGATTGGTCCATTTCCATTCCATTATATTAACCCTTTGTTTCGTAAGAAATATCAGTCCAAGTTTAAAACACTGATCTAGAAATTATTACTAGTGTAGAGTTCATTACTCACAGCATAAAAAATATTCAATAAATATATTAGTAGTACAAACGTCCATTCAATATTTTTTCTTGAGCCTTCCCTGAACACCTTGAAGACTCTGAGGTTCCCCTGTGAAAGAAATACTGTTTGCACAACAAATGTTTGGCTCTTTCATTTACATTTCCAATAAAAGAGCTCTATACTCTACTTTTTAATTCATTAATTGGTTTTGCGTATAACATGTGATTAATTGTGATTAATCACATGTTATATCGCATGAGTTCGAGCGATTAATCGCGATTCATTTTTTAAATTTTTGCCCAGCCCTAGTTAAAATTTAGTTTTGTCATCGCAAACATACATGGAGTTGTGTTTTGTTTCATTCACACACGTTTAAAACACGAACACTGTTCTTTTCTCAAACAGAAAATGGAGGAAGAGCTGTAAACTCGACTTTCGATAGAATCATCTGGATAATTTCAGCCTTGGAATTGCGCATCTCTGCTGATCTAAAGTAAAAAGTTGCAGCTAAATTGAAAACTACTACTTCATGATATCGCAAGGTGGAGCTTTGGAGATGCAGACCAACTAATAATGAAGGGTTAGAGTCCATTTTGCATAAATAAGACCTTTAACTTGCCTTTATTGCACCGATTATTTGTTCAAACTTTATTTAGGTAATGCGAGGAGAACCGTGACAGCGCTGCAAAAGTCGAGATTCATTAGAAATCGCTGTTTTTGTTTAGTTTTTTATGAATTGTCTGATGTGTGGAGGATTTTCCAGGTTTTGTTTGTTGGTTTGTGGGAAAATGGCCTGGAGCAGAAAAAGGCGGAGAGCGTTTTGTGTTGTTGTTTATGAGAATCCCAGAGCGTGATGTGAATGAGGAACGCCGCTGACTCTGACTCTGACTCTGACTCTGGGTCAAAGTGGGACAAGTTCAACAGTAATTCTACGGGATATGAACTGCTATCACATAATATATTTAGATCACCATGTTGCCTTTTATTGTTTTGAAAATGCTATAATTCTCCGAAGACAACGTATTAATATGTTTTATTAGTTTCATCTGTTTTTGGCACTGAGTGAAAAGTCTGGAGTAAGAAAGCTTTCAGAAATATTTGTGTACATAGAATAGAAATCTGTGCATTTTTGTCTGTAGTTGCGCATAAAATAAATATTCGTAAACTCTCGAATGAGTCCAGTTGTACATAAAATATATTGTTTGTATTTTATCCATCAGAATACGAACTGAAAAGTTACGACGTCAAGAATTGCAATCACGAAATGAAAATTTACAATTACGCTTTCATCAGTACGAATAGGAATTCCCAGATGGGATTTTACTGTCAAAAATACATCAATCACTTCACAGACATTATTTATCGAGCAGAAGAAACATCGATCAAGATCAAGACTGCACATGTTTAAGTTTGTAGCAGAGGGTAAAAACGGAGTAATGGCACAACAAGGAGCTACAACAGCGACCAACAATGTCTCGTCTTGCCACATCGAATTCAGGAACCGAACGCTCGCTGCTGTGTAATATTGTGTAGAAATACCTCCTCTGAACTGGAAATTGCACCACCTTCAGAGCATTATCACATAATCCGCAATCAGGTTTGTCAAGTCGCCGTGCACAGTTTTGTATCATATTTTTGTATATTAATGGAGAGTTGTCGTGTGGGAGTGTGGGTGATGTAGGCTTGTGGTACAGAATCTCACAGTTAACCATAAGGAGGGTTTGAATAGGGCCCAGGAGAGATCGCTAGATTACTCAGACATGCATATATGACACTGACATCTAAAACCTCTTCTGGCGTGTCTTTGATGAGAGAACAACTTTATAAAATGGTAGATTTTGCATACTACCTCGTCTGTAAGTATAGTTATAGACTATTGTGAGATCAGCTGGTATTATTTTTTGTGCAGAAAGAACAAAAATGTGGCTGTTTGTTGCAGGTTTTCCAAACAGTGGGAGCAGGTAGAGGGCGCTCTTGGAAAAAGGATCAAAACTAAAACTTAACGGATTCCAGGCACTCCAAAAAAGTAGAAAAAGAAAAAAAAAAATCACACGAGGAAAAATATAGTTAAAAGGCCTTTATTTGAATGGCCAAAACCAACATGTTTCGACCTTAACTGGTCTTCATCAGGGCATGGTATTATTTTTTACTAGGGATGTAACGATATCCAAATTCCTCTGTAGGATATTTTCACGATATGCATGTCACCACACGATATTTATTGCGATATTTTGTAGAAACTAACAGAATTGTGAATATACTGCTTTTTATGTCTTGACAAGCCTTTGGTTCTGTCAAAAACCAGAGAGTTAAGATTTAAAAGTGCTTAATTAGTTATTTCATTGGACTGAGACAGAGCAGAGGATCATGGTCTATGTAGTTCTGCACCAAAACAATTAATTTAAGCAAAGAGACTTGTAATTCGATATATTGTGATGGACCACGATATTATTAAGAGACTACTGATGATACGACATCACGATATTTTGGTTATTGTTACATCCCTATTTTTTACCAATTTTCTTTCTAAACCACTTAAGGGAAAATCGTTAAATTTGATAATTATTTTTAGAATAAATTCAAACATTAACCAATAAGGATGTAACAATAACAGAAATGTCATGTAGTCAAAAGTCTCACAATAATGTTTTAGGCCATCACTATATAAATCGAATTACAAGTCTCTTTAGTCCAATGAGATTAAAGAGGCAATGGAAATACGGAAACATGCCCACGGGACTATAAACTCGGACGAGGGGGCTTTTTTTTACTCTCACACACCTGGGATACTCTCCTGAGGAAGTGGGACTGCAGATGGCGCTGTCGTCCTGCCTCCACCGGTAGGAAGACGGCGCCAAAACCTGTTTAAATCAGCAACATCACGTGACCACTCTGAGTAAAGGCGCTAGTGAGCAGTCGAAACTGTCAGCTATGAAAACAAACTCTTGGTCTGTAAAAAAAGAACCTAATAACATACAAGTCTCTTTGCTTAAATTCATTGTTATAGTGCAGCAATTGCTAAAAACAGAGGGGACTACATAGACCATGATTCTTTGCTCTGTTTTAGTGCAGACTACATGAAGAAATCAGTTTTTGAGTGCTTTTAAATAACTAATTAATTCTTCTGACAGTTTTTTTTTTTTTGCACAAATAGGTACGATGTCCGAATGTGACCTGTAATTGAAGTTAAACCAAAAAACACAACATTCCCAAACTCGTTGCCATCCCTGTGAACCCCTCTCCTCCTCGGTTGGTCTCTGGCCCCGGTCTCTCCCAGCGTTCCGCCGCAGGTTCCTGGAGGTTGGTGCGTGGTTTGGGTGGTTGGTTTCGTTGGTGTTGTGACTCTTGACAGCGCATGACTGATGGAGCAGTGAGCGGGCAGAGCTACGATGAATGAACCGGGAGACAAAGACTGATGGCCCATTCTGTGTCTGTCAAACCCTCGTATTCTGCTGTCCGGATGATGCATGCCTCTCGATTTGAACCCAGGCAGCTAC